CCGCAGCCTAAGAGAGCATCAATATTATTACAAGAAAAAAAAATATACATATAAAATTCATATTACATATTTCTATTTATTTTATGTATGATTAGAATTAAAGGTATGTTATTTAAAATAACATTTTATATGTAATAGTTGAAGAAATGAATTTGAACAAAAATATTCGTACAAAATATTGGAATTGTGCAATACCATTACAGACATTAAATTTGTTTTTGAAATTTATGAGTAGTAGGGTAATTTATTAAGACAATAGATAACTGAATAATTTATAATCGTTAATTACTTACAAAGAAATTCATGCATTTTTTAACAATAATACCAACTATAAATATTTTACTAGCAATTAATGTGAGTCAGAGTATCATTTTTTTTTAGCAGTAGCAATTTTGCTACTGCTATTCCACAACCCTGTTTTATATTCTGTTAAAAGATATCTCTAAATATTATTACGATATAAGTAATAATGAATTTTACAAGAATGTGTCTCTCATTTTGGATAATTCTTTTTGGAAAATTGAAACTTTTAAGGAAGAAAATATTATTTAAAATATTGTAATTTCGTGTATATGTGACTGAAGAAGCTTCTTAACGAAAATGTCTAACTCAACGAAAATCTCAAAAACTAACTAAACAAAAGGTATAAGACTTAGACTAACTTCACTGCAAAAAGTGTGGTGTAATACCTACCGGAATCTGCTATTGGAAACTCTAAAAATGGTGTGAATGATTACTTTATTTCAAGTTGTTGTTGTTGTCGTTGGCAATTAAAGCAGAGGAGGTGCGTTTGTTTTTGTTTTGCAGTGGCGCCATCTATAGCCAAAAATTCGACTTCTGCCCCACCCATACGTAACACCCGTTTATAGAGCGGACCCATTCATGCATCTATTCATTCCTCCGCAGATCGTAATTTTGACCTGAATCAGGGAACGACCAATCTCCAATTCAGTACCCGCAGAGGTATAATTTGTTTAATGGGAACCTGGAGGACTTTGTGACCCGACAGATTTAACGTGCACCAGTCACCATTTACTACTCGGGGAGTCTTCGGCCTGCTGGATTCGAACTCGTATCATCTTCTCCATTTCCACAGATCGTAATTTTGACATAACCAGAGACAATCAATCTCCAATTCAGAACCCCCAGAGGTATAATTTGCTATGGGAACATGGAGGACTTCACGACCACACAGATTTAACGTGTTCCAGTCACCATTTACTACACGGAGAGTCTTCGGCCGCCTGGATTGGAACTTCCATTCTCACGCACGTGAGTCCAACGCCCTGCCAACCAGGCTATCCCGGCCGATTAATTCAAGTTAATACCGCTTTTACATACTTCAAAGGGCGTAGTTAACACAAAAACTGATAAATCTTACATCAATCTGCAGCTCGTTGATGAGGAAGGTTGAGTTTTTCAGAGCTCCGAAAATTTAGCGAATAATTAGTTGATATTTAAACTATTAAAAAAAATTCTTATGTGAAATAGTAGGGCATGTTTTAAACGTATAACTAATGATTTTGGATCATTATTGGAAGTTTAAAGGAGAATAATTATGCTATTTCAAAAGAACTAGATGGCGGTTTCTTTACATGAGGTGTGTTTCTTGACGGATTTAATTGACAAACACGCCACAGCCTATTTAAAACCAAGTAATTTCAATCCTCTTGTCGACTTGATTTGACAAACTATTCACAGATATAGAATGTTTTCATTTCTCATAAGAGATTTCCATAAATCTGATAATTTTATACAATAATTTCATAATACTTAACTTCTATTTACTTTTGTTCACATTCTGTTTGATTAATAAATTTAATTTTAAGTCCAAAGTGTAAATTTTATATGAAATTTGTATCGTAAAAAATTCTTATGTGTCTTACTGTGTTTACTGAATAACTACTTAGTGTTTCTTTATAACATATCATTAAAATGGTTTGAAAAAAAAATAAAAAATAAATACGAGTAAAAATACGAGGTTTAATCTTTAGTTGATTTTTCAAGCAATGCTAATTTTTTCGAACTTGAAACGATTGATTGAGAAAAAAATCTTTTATTCAGATTTATTATTATTATTTTTTTCATGAATACAGAATGTTATGTTACTGCCCGTTTCTGCTTGAAGTAGTTCTCGAAATAAAATATAGATGGCAGCACAAAGTCACGTGTTTATTTTTATGCATTATGTAGTTTGATTCTGCATGTGTTTTATGTCAGTAAAGTTGCGTTATTTAAAACCGGCATGGTAATTTCAAAGTGATTATTTCCCCGAGAAGGAATACCTTTTACACTACCATTAGATTATATTTTTACAATCTTTGTCAATAAATTTGAAAACATAAGGGATTGCAAATTATTATTTATGCGAGAAATTTACAAAAATGCTATTTAAATTTGTTAAATGACTAATCAGAAGGGCGAAAGGAATACAATGTAAAACACGTTTTATTGCCTCATACAGTTTTTAATAATTGCCCTTCATCTTTTCCTTGTTTTTTCCCGTAATCAAACAGGTCTGACGTGAAATATCCTCAGTGGTAGACGGATCATGAGTTAGTGTTTCCTTGCCGTCAGACTAACCGGTCGTGATTTTCATGGTTTTCCTCTCCATATAATGCAAATGCGGGTTAGTTCCATCAAAAAGTCCTCCACGAAGGGAAATTTCTCCCAATACTTGATCTAGGAGTACCCTTTTATCCTCTAGATTGGGTTCAAAATGACGAAGCTACAGAGTTGAACATTAGTATTCATAAACCTAAACAATGGGGTCGGCTGTTCAACGACTGTTATAACACAGTAAATAAAATTAAATAAAACGGGTTTTTGTATTGCTGATCCCGCCTTACTCACTAATGGTTCTTTAGATTTCGATAACGTTTTTGTTTTTACCTCACTTAAATAATAACTTGCAGTAGTGAATACTTTTTCCTTAACTTTTTTGTATTGATTCTAAAAAACTGTATTAAAGGTAATCGTTACGGTATATTCACACCGTAAGGATTTCACATCCGTTTACTTTTTTATGTTTTTGTTTTCGCTGCATTTTATAAAAATGATTCACGTTCAAATTTAAAAGAATTCACTTTGTATTTGAATCATTATCTAGGTTTTTTCTATTTCAAAATAAAAAAATTTCAATCTGTTTTTATTCGATTTTGAATAGGGAGGTAATATGACTACTACTACTCTATCAATTATATGTTTGAACGATTTAGTTACTTATGATGCCCCCTGTCTTCAAGCACTACTCGATGGGAATGTTGTAAAACTACTTCTAAATATTATTGAAGCTGAACATCCATACGTTCGTCGATCTCAGGTAAAGTTATTTCATTTTATAAAGTAAGTTAGGACTATAAATTTAAATATACGCTCATTATAAAACCTTAATACAGCGTCATACAATAAACGCGGTATTAAGCTTTATTTAGCTCTGTTGTTGTTGTTGTATACCATTTAGGCAGAGGGGTGAGATTGTTCTTGTTTTCCAGTGGCCAAGCATTCGACTTCTGCCACACCCATACGTCACACCCGTTTATAGAGCGGACCCATTCATACATCCATTCATTCATCCCCAGATCGTAATTTTGACCTGAATCAGAGAACGATTAATCTCCAATTCAGTACCCTCAGAGGTATTGATTTGTTATGGGAACATGGAGGACTTTGAGACTCGACAGATTTAATGTGCATCAGTCACCATTTACTACACGAAAGTCTTCGGCTGGCAGGGATCGAATTCACGACCTCTTGGACATAGGCGCAGTGCCCTACCAACTAAGCTATCCCGGCCCTTTATGTAGCGTAAATAAAGATAATTAAAATTTAAGTTTAATAAAAGCTACTGAAGCTAAAAGCGAACATGACTTCGTGTTTCATTTCTGCATTGTGATCTTAAAAAAAAACTGTCTTTTTTCCCGGTACTTTTTGGTGCTTTTTTCTTCTCCGTTTATCGGAAAGGTAACTAAGTTCTAAAGGAATTAATCGTGAAATTTTTTTTTTTTTTAAATTTCTGTTCTCCTCTTGCTCAAAGTTTAGTTTGGTTTAAATCACCTGAACAAAATATCTCCTAAATTGTATCCTCATATTGTGATAACGTAACGTCTTACTGTATTCAAGCTGTTGAAACCGAATTTAATGTAATTTAATAATTATTCGATCAAAATGAGATTTTTTTTTTGTAAAAAAATAATTGAGATACAAAGTTATTATTCAACTTTAATATTTTATTTACTTTTAATTGAAAATACAGTTATATTATGTATCATAATATTTTTATTAATAGTTCATCTGTTAATAGTAGTTTCTCAGGGTTGTGTGATTAGCAAAAAATAAAAAAAAAAATGATAAAGTATTTCAATTTAATCTACAATATTTATAAAAATAACTAGTTGAATAAGTATTATTTGTATAGTATTATCACAATACAATAAATGTAATTAGTGAAATTTAGAGCAATTTTAAATCAGCTGAAGAGTCCAAATCAATTTGTTACATAGATTGGTTCATTTCTGTAAACTTTAAATTAATTCTTATACATCAATTAGTTTTTTTAAGAAGTATTAATTATGTTCAATTAGGTCCGGCTGTGGACTGATCGTTAAGACACAGTTCCCTGTATGACACCGAAGTCAAGCACCACTTTCTGCTGTCAAAGTGCGGGTGGATGACCACTTGGATCAGTCTACCAAAGGACCGAGGGTGTGCGGTATTGGTTCTCGTTAAACTGTTCGACCATAAAGAGCTCGACTTCGAGCGCAAGTCGTCAGGCTACTGAAGCGAAGGTGCCATCCACTCTGCAGAGGATAAAAATTGTGATGGTATGTCATCGGATCATCCTTAGGGATGTTTCCCAGATCGTCGCCAATAGCCCATTGTGAAGCTCTAGTGCGACGTAAATGAACTACAACAGCAACTGTCCTATTTGGCAAAGGTTTACAAATCTAAATTTAGCACACAAGCCTGCAAATGTATGTTATTCCAATAAATCATCTTCATCACCTATCGGGTTCCTTTTTATCTGGCCTTTTTACACTGTTTTCCTTTGGAAATATCAAGACCCGAAGTTTAGCACTTTTTCTACCCCGAAATTAACATGCTCCCGGTTTTAGCCATCAACAGAAGCACATGATGCGTAGATAAGGACAACTAAAGGAGGTGTTAACAGATGTTAAATATATCATCAATCAATTAGAATCCACTGAGTAAAATCGATGGAGCAAATATTAAAATTTTTCTAGTTGAATTTTTCAAAATATTGACGTTGACAAAGAAAGCAGCCAACACTGTCTTTCGTTCATCCTCAACTATAATATGGAAGCTGTCTGCAGCTAGTTTCATATCCCAAGTCAAAATTTTTGATGATTTTCCATAGATGGACCAACATAATCTTGATTGTGATCATCAATAATTCCATCATGAACAATTATATTTTTGATAGTAACCAACATAAATAGCCATCAACCTAATGTAGGAATTCGGACTGATTTATAATTGTCCAACATACGAAGAACAAGTTGTTTTGAAGGTTTGTTCATGTTGAACAAGCGGAAATTGCCATCATAGTTTCTTCGAAATCAAATGTTGGAACTATAATGAACCACCTATAATGAACCACCAATGTAGGAATTCGGACTGATTTTTGATGGGTCAACATAAAAAAATACAAATTGTTTTGATGGTATATTCCAGCTGAGCCAACAATAATTCTCATTAAACCATCATGGAAAAGTATAGTTGAAACCATCATGGACCATCACGGATGGTTAGTCCATAAGAATCAAACTTCTTTGGATGGTTTCATAGTATTAGAGTTTCATTTTCCATCATGGAATGATGTAAGTTTGTTGGCAGATAAAAAACCATGAAAGCATGATGAAAAATGTTGGATAATGGTGACCATCAAATGCTGTTGGATCATCAAGAATTGCATTAAACCAACATAAAACATCAAAATGTTTTGATAGGATCATCAAGAATTTTGACTTGAGATTATTTCCAATTAACGGCAGCTGTTCTCTAGACACCATTGCTTGGTACCAATTTTGATTTGGAATTTTTAAAATTATTTTTTTTAAAATTTATTATTCTTATTTATATTATTTGCTTTATTTATTAATTAATTTATTTATTATTATTTTTTTTTTTAGTTTGCTGCATTACGATGCTTGAGAAAACTTTGCGATTGTAGAATTCTCCAAAAAGACATAATAAATACAAGAGGTATTCAACTACTGTTTAAATGTCTGAATCACATCGATTGTGAATTGATGTTGGAATCCATTTACATGATTGCTGACGTATCCATCGTACCTGCTTCCTGGGAATCAGTTCGATTATGTGAAGGCATGCAAAAACTTGTAAGAAAAATCTAGTTTTCATAATTTTAAAGATTGAGATTAGTCAAGTCCGAAAATATAGTTATCAATCATTAGTCAAAAATTTGGATAAATGTATGCATGTGTGATGGATAAATAGTAAATTTGTGCGCCATTATCAAGTAAAATGCAAGTTAATTTCTAAATATTTTAGTAGATTTGTGTAAAATTTTCACAGGTTTATAATTTTTTTCACGGATATATTTGAACCCAGTGCCTATTAATTAGTAGCGTCAATTTTTGCCTGCGAGTGTTAATTTGTGCACCTCTGAATTATACAATAATTCAGATATAGTAAGATGAAAAAAAAAGATATTGCCCTGAATAACTTTTGTAATATTCATCGGATTTTAACTTACTTAGTGACAATCTTAATGATTTGAGGAGTTTATTTTAAAAATGCCAATTAAATGGTGCTAATTATTAATCAAGATACGAAATCAGGCAAATAGCACTTGGCACCAATTAATGGTGCTAATTATTAATGAGAATACGAAATCAGACACAAAAACTTAATTTCTCTAAATATACATAACTTTTTATGTGACAGATTTTGATTTTTGAGAACTAAAATGAGAGAGAAGTAGACTACAATCTGAAAAATATAGCCCCAATTGTTTCTTCAGGAATGCAGTTGAATGTTTGAACCCTTTGATATTTTTTTTTCACTTTTTACGTATTTCGTCATTTTTTGGAAAACTTCTTAAGCGAGGCAAAAAATCTTTGCACAAAATTATAAAAATCTTTCATCTAAAGATAATTTCATGTAAATAAAAAAAACGTTTTTTACGTTCAATTATTTTTTGCCTTTTACCTTTAGCCGGCCAGGTGACCGAGCGGTTAGCGTGCCTGACTGCGAAGCCATAGGCTGCGGGTTCGAATCCCGCTCTGGGCATGGATGTGTCTCTCTCTCTTTGTGCTGTCCTCTGTTGTGTGTATGATGTGTGGATGTGGCCCACCCTATAAACGGGTTTGTGGCAGTGCGGCGTAGGCAATGTTGCTCGCCTCCGTGACTTTGGTTCACAGGTGCCCACTGGGTAACGCGAAATGAGCAACAATTCTGGAATAGTATAGGCAAAAAATTCAAATTCAGTGCCTGCCATTTGAAAAAAAAAATATTTTTTGCCTTTAATGATTATTCATTATTTTTCGTTACTTTATTAATTAATCTTCCAAAAAGTTTTGAATTATAAAGCATATAAATTTTTAAATTATTTTAAATAATCACAGTAAAAGAGTGTTTCTTAAAATTCAGCAAAAAAGCGTCAAAATATCCTCGGAATAGTCAACAAAACCCCATGTACAGTGAGTAAAAACAAAAAATGGACCACCCCAATGATCGGATCTTTTCGTTCTAAGACTCACTCTTAATGTTTTGAGGGGATGAATTCAAATATGCTATTAAATTAGTGCAGGCGATATTTTAAGTTACGAAATCAGACACAAAAACGTACTTTCTCTGAATAAACATAATTTTTTTTTACGGATTTGATTTGGATTTTTGACCCCTTAAAATACAGTAGCTGCAATCTGGGAATATAGCCCTACTAGTTTGGTCAGACGGGCGATCCAAAGTTTAGACCCTTTAATGTTAGTTTTATTTGTTGCATATTTTGCCATTTATACAGAACTTTTTAAGTGACTTAAAATTTTTTGCATGCTATTATAAATTTCGTTTGTCCATAGATAAATCCATGCAAAAAATAACTTTTAGTATAATGGTATGGTATTATATGTAGTATAATTTTCGAATATTGGTCGAAAAAATTTTGAATTGTAGCTATACAATTTTTTACAGCATATAAAAGAATACAATTTTACATGGCAAAATACAAAATTTAAGCGAAAATAGTTGAGTAGTTCCTGCGAAATTGAATTTTAAAAATACGCCTTCTTTAAAGTAAATTTCTGTGTCTGATTTCGTAACTTAAAATATCATCTGCATTATTAATTAGTATATTTTAGGTTACCCCTCAAAGCATTAACATTGAGTACTTGAAAGTGAAGATCCGATTATTAAGGTAAAAGTTATTTAGGGTGGTCTATATATTTTATTTTTAGCACTTTACTCATTTTTAAGAATAGTGACCAGATCAAAATTGAAACAGGACTGAAAATCCTTCTTCATTTGTGATAAACAGAGCGACAAGGTAGGAAAGTGATGTTTACCTACTTTCTTTATTCGTGAAATAAATTCGTAACGAACACAAATGCAGTTATTTTTTTTCCATCTAATTTGACATTCTTTTCGAATATTTGATCGTTATAAGCTGATAAAATTTGAACTTTGTCACATTTGATGATGATGTGTCATATTTGAGACTATATAAACTTTACACATTTCATTTTGCTCAATAAGGAGTACTACAATTTTCAATTTCGACTATATTTGTTTCGGAGCTGTTTTGACAAATATTAGCTCAATTTCGTAGAAACCCTTTTCTACAGTAATGTCTTTTGAATGGCAATATACGAAATGTGAGAAAAATACGCCGCACAGTTTCTGAGTTGAAACATTTAAAAAAAGATTCGCATTTAAAAATTTTTATTTTTCATAAGCTATTCAGTTGATTTCATTCAAAAATTTTGCAATTAATCAAATTAATTTCTGTACCTTAATTTTTAATTTTTTTTACACCAGTTATTAAATAAAAAAGAGGAAATAGCAAAAAATTATTAAAAATTAGCTTTTTGCACAAAACATCATTAAATAAAATGAGGATTATAATTGCGTGCAAAAAGTTTTCGATTGACTTAAAAAGTTCCTGAGATATTGGGAAATGCGTAAAAATTTAAATTAACGTTGAAAAGCCAAAATTTTAACAGCATTTCTGATTATGGGGACCTAAAGAGCGTACAGTAGTTCTAATTCAGGTTTTTTTATATGGGTACCATATTCTTCCAAATTGCAGTTACCCACCATATTCTGATTAACAAAAATTTCTGAAAAATTTCTGAATTATTCTGATTAACAAATATTTTTCTTCGGATAAGGAACATTTATGTATCTGATTTCCCAACTTTTTAACTACTTAATACCACAATTAATTAACTCATTTAAAGTCAAACCTTTTAACCATTGAGATTGGATTTCAATACGTAAAACTCCGAAACAAGAGTTACACAATTTGATACTTTCTTTCGCTCATTGTTTATCTTTTAAAATTTTTTTAACTTAACTTATTGCTTTTTTTGTTTTCAGATTCATTTACTAAACACTTATGATTCGAAAATTACCTTGACAACCCAAACAAGCAAAAGTGAAATTTTCTCCTTAAAACTGACTATTTCCCAGTATTCAGCGAAATCTTTGTCTGTGCTTTGCGCTGATGAATGTAATAGAAAAATAGCTTGTTCATCAAATATTATGAATGCGTGCCAATTTTGGATAAGAAGCAAACATCAACAAGTTACAACTCCTATTCTTATATTGCTGCAACATTTGTCATTGTCAGTATGTAAATATTATGATTATTTTATAGTTTACATTATTTTTTTAATTTCAATGGGGCAATTCTCAATGAGAGGGAGCAAAACACACAAATAAATTTTAAGCTTCGGCAACAATTAATTTTAAATTTAATTCGCAAAAAACGTTTCAGATCAAATTTTTCATTTGTTCGCCTAAAACGGAATTATTGACATAAACAATATAAAAAGTTGCTATAAATACTTTTAGAACAGAATAATTCTGGATATTCATACTAAATGGCAATGTACCACCATAATATATATATATATACAAATATATCAGGGCTCGAAAAAACTCAGGAATTTTACCCGTCGCCGAGGACGGCTTGTCCAACAATATACCCGTCCTCCTTCGAAACTAACCCGTAGCTTCTAAAAAAATAAAAATATAATTTTCTCTTATTTATTACAAATATCTATGTAAATTGCACAATGACTTGGTAGTTACTAGGATTACATTATACAGTAATAAAAGAAATACTAGGCTACTAATAGTGACCTGGTATTTCTTTTATGAAGTAATTTAAATGACAAAGGTCAAGTTATCTGGAATGTCAATTTATCCGAGGGTGGTGCGTTTTATAAATGAATCAAATATGACATTTTCCAGTTCCACAATCAAGTCAATAATTTACAGAGGTTTCTGCATAGAAATCTGAAAGGGATTTTCCATTTAAGAAGATGATCTTAATTGCGTTTAACGCTTCTTGTTTAAGACCAGTACGTAATGCGTTTTTTTGTAAGTTCATTGCTGAAAAGCTCCTTTCAACCGCTGCAGTACTCCCAGACAGAGAAAACATCAATTCCACCATACGCTGTATGTTGCTGTAATTCTAGATTAGAGGGTCATTTTAGAAGTGAGGCGCTAGACTCTTGTAAGATAACAAAAATGAAAAATGTATCACGAACATTAACGGAAAAATGGCCGTCCGCGCGGACGACGGATTCGAGAAATTCGTTGTCCGCTGAGGACTGGCGGACGGGCTGTTTTTCGAGCCCTGATATATATATATATATAACAGTGAAACTATTGAANATATATATATATATGCATCCTGGATAACTTTCGTTCTAATAATTGGATTTAATTTTCACGATATAAATGTCGATCTTAATGGTTCCAGGGGCTTCAAGTATACTAATTAATTAGTTCTATCTCTTAATTATGTTACGAAATAAGATACAAAAATGAGTTATTTATTCTCTGAATAAACATGTGATTTTTTTTACATATTTCGATTCCTGACCCTCAAAATAAGAGGAAGACAAAACTTCGAAAAAGTTGGATCAAAAATTGGGTTGCTAGGAAGCTATATATATTTGGCTTAACTCCCCTCGGAAAAAAAGGTCATGCACTCTCGTCATGGGAGGAGGAGCATTTTTTATGACCATAAACTAGCTGTGTGATCAATAAAAGCGAAATATTTAGGCTTTCACCATTGCTAAGCAACCAAGCTGAGAGAAGAGAATAAAAAGGAATTAAATAAAAACTAAAAACTGAAGCCATATGATTTATTGTTTTGTGCTAGCTCAAGTCAGAAAGACTTTTTTTTGTGTGGTTTTTTTCCGGTTCTTTTTGCTTAGGTTCTAGGTAACAGGCATTTTTTGTGTAGATTTCTGCCCAAAAAATAAATATTACTTTCGTTTTCGTCTACTTTGAAAATAAAATTTAAGTTGATTAATAAATTAAATATGATTTTCCAAGATTTTAGTATTTTAAAACACGAACTTTTTATAGGACAATATTTGTATTTTTTAAGTTGTTTTTTAACTTTTTTAGATATGAAGATTTCATACTAAAACTAAATTTCATACAAAATCAAATTATAATCAGAGTAATTTTGATTATAACTAATTATTGTAATTTAGAAATCATTTTTAATTGTAATTAATAATTATTATTTAGAAATTATTATTAATTATAATTCAGAAATTATTATTAATTATTATTTAGAAATTATTTTTAATTATAATTAATAATTATAATTTAGAATTTTTTTTAATTATAATTAATAATTTTAATTATTAATCAGAGTTATAGAGCAAATCATGAAAAAAATCCCGTACAAATGTAGAGTAACTGGAAGAGACTATAATGCATATTCATGATATTTTTTTTTTATCTATAAGTGAAGAAATGAGTGAATGCTACGTGACATTCTAAAAACACTGAAATATGTATGTTGAGGAATATTGCATGATTCATTTTTTAAAATATCGCTTAATTGTACCAAAAATGTGAGTCACGTGGCTAGATTAATTGCATGAATGATCTGATGGGAAACGGGGCCTTTCATTGTTTTCCTCATCATTCCTGCCATTCTTTAAAAAAAATAAAGAAATAAAATTTAATTTCTAATAATTTTAATGAGTTTAATTCTATCTAACTGTTTCAAGTAATTAAATGTTACCTACAGTGTTGAGTTTCACTTCTGGGATTAATGAACTCATTGACACGTTTCAATTGAGCATCAATGAAACGTTAACATTCTTGTCTCTTTACGGCGAAATATGAAGAAAAAAATTTATTTATCATTTCTAAAAATATGTATATTAAAACCATTTGCTGAACATACTAATTAAGGCTATGAAATAGTTGTTGCTGTTGTTGACTTATTCCTCTTGGTCAGCCGCAGGCTAGACCAAGTCAATGAGCTCGAAAGTCTTCACGAAATCAAATACAAGTAAGGGACCAGAGTAGAGGTCTTTCTTATCCAGGCCAAGACAGTGTAAAATGTAATCGGGAGAAGCAGAGTTACACCTCGCGCACGTTGAATAGGTCTTTAGCCCAAGCTCAAAAGAGAGACACCTGATGTGTCCACTTATGAGCCTACTTATAGTGGACTGTATGGCTCTATCAGCCCCTATGGTAAGTGCCCCACCAGGAGTCTGTCCATTATACCAAGAGTGGGCCGGAGGGATGTTCCATAGTTGTTGGCTAGTAGTGGTTCTGATCTTGGAGAAAATCTCAGGGAAGGACAAAGGTCGACTTGAAATTGTGCTATCAGAAGCTCCCTGCGTGGCCAAAAGATCAGCATTTTTATTACCAAAGAGACCTATGAGAAGAGCTTATGATAAGAGGAACAGGGGTACAGCTTCTGTAGATCAAGGATCTGGGAGCACCGTAAGACAGAAGTCTAAATGAAATAGTTTGTTACATAAAATATCTTAATATATCTTACTTTAACATTAAGGAAATTCCCAAGTTAGAAGAGGAACAATTTGAGATGATGATTCTAAAAATAGCGCAGTTTTGGAATATTTTTACAATATTCTATTTTTAGTATTTGCTGTTTTAAAAAATAAGGCATATCGATCATTTCCCTGATATAACGAAATTTTTTTGAACTGTGCTAAAGTTGAGAAATAATATTAACATCTTTTTAAGCAAATTTTTTCAACATTATTCTTTTTAAAAAGGCAACTTTCTTAAAGTTAGAGGGCGTGAATAACTTTGCACGTCAAAATGAAATTGTATGTCCATAATTTTTATTCATTTAAAAACCAAGGCAAACTGTTGTATTTTTTTCTGTGCACATAAACGCATTTATTTTTCACTACTCAAATTAATAAGAAATAATAAAATTTTGTTATTGTTATTGAAATTGTGTCAATCATTGAAATTTTTTTAATTATTGAAATTGTATCAATTATTGAAAGAATCAACTTAAAAATAAAAATAGATGCATAATCACATTCTATCAGAAACATGCTTTAATAAAATTCGACATTCGTTGAATATAATGTTTTATACAAATCTCTTTACTAAATTACGAATAAATTTGCAGATGATTTAAAAAGGAAAGTCGTATTTAATATTTTTTTTTTAAAAAAAGAAAAAGATTAGTAATCGGCTATTGGTGGAAAAAATATGAGAAGAATTTTACATTACGCTTGCGTCAGTCAAGTTCCTCGTAAGTTAGCCACATTTAAATATTAATCGTCCCCATTTAAATATTTCTTATTAAACTCCCCATTGAAATTCTCATTTTTTTAAAAATATTTAATTTTAAAATTTCTCGGCTTCTCTTAAATAAAATCAGTTGAAACTTTAGATTTTTCAATAGAAAGATTCGTGGATTAATATGGTGCCTTATAATTCAAAAATTTTTCATCCAAAATTAAATTAAATAATAAAAAATAATAAATAATTATTAAAAATTACTTTTTTCAGGAAATTACCTTTGGTTAAACTGGTTTAATGAGGGGGTGCAATTTTTTTTTGAATTGCTTAATTAGTTTTAAAAGTATAACTTAAAATATAAAATGTGAAATTGACATGAAGGGGACCAAGCTTTCATCTGCTTTCCTGACTAAACTATTAGTGCCACAATCTCCAAATTGCGGTGACTCCCTATATTTTGAAGGTTAAGAATCCAAATGAATAAAAGAAATTTATATGTTTATTCTGAAAAAGTGTGTTTTTGTGTCCAACTTCGTAATTTAATTGATAATTAGCATAATTCACCAGATCACTACCAGGAACCATTAAGATTGACACTTATAACGTAAAAATCCGATAATTAGAGCGAAAGTTATTTAGAGTATTATCTTTTTTTTTCCTTTATTTTATTTTTATTTTTTTTTGCGCATTGTACACGAACATAGATATATTGAGGAATGAAAGTTTTAGGTGTTTCCAATTAGGCGCTTCTTCTTCTCGCGGTTTTCTGTTTTTTACGTTATGATTCTTAAAATATAAACTTGTTGACTACAGAACTCTATTGATTGAATAAACAAAAAAAGTAATAACTTTGAATAAATAATATTAGACAAAATCTATAAGTATTTTAGACCAGTGCACAAATCGTAAGTTATTGGTGCATTTGGTTACTGCGTAATGACACGCATTGCTACACATTAAAAAAAAATAGTATCTTACTTTCCAGATTTTTTAGTAAAAATGTCAATATTGATTGTAAAAAAAGAATTCTAAATGGCAGTTATTATCAGATGTCTTTCAGGCAACAAGTGAATGACTCTCGAATGATATTAGATGTATTACATCATTTAAAGTCTACTAACAGGGAGCTAAAACAAGCTGCTGCAGATTTAATATTTATAGTAAGTAGTAGATTTAATTTTCTCTTTTTATCAGAATTTTTTAATGTACACAGTATTTTTACCTTTCTTTATTTTCGTTTGAAATTATAACGTCTTTCCAGCAATTGACTCAAAATTTTAGAGAAAAATATTCTTGACCTGTACTGTTAGATAAAAAAAAAAGGAGATTTTCGAAATTTAGAAAACGCTAGAACATAATTAAACACTTGGAAGGCTTGAGACCTACCAGACAACTTAGTACCCATCGATCTGAGGCAGAGTGATGGTCATGCTTTTCCCCAATTCGTAGTTCACCCTGAAGGTAAGATAGGGGTCGTACCTAGTGGTCGGAAAACTAAATTTTCTTTGTAGTTAACTAAAACTACTTTATGACAATTGTAGTTAACTACAACTACTTTATTCAATTGTAGTTAACTACAACTACTTTATCACAATTGTAGTTAGCTACAACTACTTTTCTTAATATAGCGACTATAAACTACTTTCGAAATGTAATCACTACTCCATTACTCTTAGAAGACAAACTTAACTTAATTTTCACTAATATTCAAAATGATTTTGAATAAAACCAACAGTACCCATCGATCTGAGGCAGAGAGATGGTCATGCCTGTCCCCACTTCGTAGTTCCACCCTGAAGGTTAGATGGGGTCATAACCAGTGGTCGGAAAAACTACATTTTATTTGCAGTCAACTACAACTACTTTATTACAATTGTAGTTAGCTACAACTACTTTTCTTAATGTAGCGACTATAAACTACTTTCGAAATGTAGTCACTACTCCATTACTCTTAGAAAACAAACTTAACTGTAGAACTTAATTTTCACTAATATTCGAAATGATTTTGAATGAAACCCACAGTACCCATCGATCTGAGGCAGAGAGATGGTCATGCCTGTGTCCACTTCGTAGTTCCACCCTGAAGGTTAGATGGGGTCATAACCAGTGGTCGGAAAAACTACATTTTATTTGTAGTCAACTGCAACTACTTTTTTTAATTTAGCGACTATAAACTATTTTCGAAATGTAGTCACCACTTCAGTCTAGACAAACTTAACTGTAGAACTTAATTTTCACTAATATTCAAAATGATTTTGAATAAAAAATTGGCTTGGTTTAATCTGAGGAGATATTAAGAATTTTTAATTCATGTTTAAATGAAATAGTTTTTTTTATTTTTTATTCTAAAGCACTTTTTACGAATTTGTTCAATTAACTTTCAAACTCCTTGCTTTTCTCGACAATGATTTAAGAGAAGCTGGAAAATTATCAAATATTTGTGATTTAAGTGATCAATGCGTTTTTACATTCTCCAAGAAAAAAAGTACAGTGAGAATAGCAAAAAGCGGATCACCCTGAATAACTTTTGATCTAATGTGATCGGATCTTCACGTTTTAGGATTCACTCTTAATGATTTGCGGGGGTGACGGCAAATATGCAATCCAGACTATATTTTAAGCAACGAAATCAGTCGTAAAACGTACTTAATAGTTCCTGTGAAATCGAATTTTAAAAAAGTCAGATATTTAAAATTCGATTTCTTAGGATCAATTTGATCGATTATTCCAAGCACCAGACGTAGATCTTATTAACGCTCGGCCACGGAGGCATTCTCATTGCTTTACGTTGACAGGCTCGCAAAGGATTTACACCAATCAGATACGAAATTTTTTTGCGTATGAACTTTGTTTCATTATTTTACTAACGTAAAAATAGAATCGAATGAAGATTCGAAATAATCTTTGAGTTTGAACTTTATTTCTTTTTTTTAACTAACGTTTAAAGTAGTTGCCAGGAATCTCCACAAACTACTGTTTTTTTTGTATCCCACTACTTTTTTTAAAAAGTAGGGCACTACACTACAAGCTACACTACAAACGACTACAGTAGTTTCACTATACCGTGCTACTTCCGACTACTGGTCATAGCAATAGTTATAGTTATAACACATTAATATGCCTAAAGGGGAACGTGTATTGCTATAATTTAGAGGTGCAGATCTCAGAATTTTATCCAATGTTCAAGTTAAACTGCTTACACGTTTTTTTCAGCTACCCTTCAAAATTATGCAAATTGATGGGAAACAACTTTGAATGGGAAACAAACCCTATAAGTAAAAAAAAAAAAGAATTCCACGTAAGAAATAGAAATAAAATACGTACTCAAAATAGTTGAACTAATTTAAGACAAAATTAAATGCATTGCATGAGTAAAGAAAATAACTTCTCAAACATAAAAAATTTCTAGTTAGAGAGTTTTAAAAGAATTTTTGTATTATAATATTCAGACGGCTTAAATACAGTTTAACAATTACTTCTACGTGAGTTCCTAACTATCATTTAATGTTCTTTTTTTTAATTGCTAGCAATTTGAACTCGATGATTTCAGACAAACAAAATTTTAGTACTATTTGTTAGTAGTTATATTCTGTAGTTTTGTGAAACAATCTAATTTTTTTATTCATAATATTTTTCTTCAACATAGTGTAAAAGTTTTCTACTCATTTTTTTACCTTTCTGTCAAAAGTTTTTGGTATGGTATTAATTTATTTTTCTTTCCACTTTAACTGCACTCTGAATTTTTAATAGTTTTAAATTCGAAATTTATTTTCTGTTTCGTTTAAAACGAAATTTCTAATAAAATTTTAAAATTTAATAGTAGTAGTACTGGAGTATAACTTGATATACTAGCTAAGTGTAATAGTGTTTGATTTTTAACCAGTTATTGATTTCTTTTAAAGCAATAGTGGCTATTCAAATATATAATATTCTTTAATTTTATATGTAGTGTATTATTTTTTTAATTATTTGAATAGAATACACTCTTTTATTTGATTATCAAATATTCCATCAAAATTTGGTTACGGTGCTGATTTAGAGAGGATCTGGTCGATGCGAATTTCGCACCCGTCTCGTACCGACCACAGTGCTAACGTAAAAGTAGTCGACAAATCGTGAGTGGAGTCCCCTTGCCGTCAGGTTAACAGTGGAAGGCTTCGTGGTTTTCCTCTCCGTGTAACGCCAATGCGGGATAGTCCCATCAAAAGTGCTCCATGGAGGCAAATTTCTCCCAGTACATGATCTAGGAGTTTCCTTATCTTCTAGTTTGGGTGTAAAATTTCAAGGCAACGGAGTTGAATATTAGTAGTAGTATAGGGGAAGAGCGGGCAAAACGGGACACCCGGGCAAAACGGGACACCCGGGCAAGACGGGACATTGCTTTTTCTTTTATGCGTATCACGATAGCGAAATCTAAAGTACGTTTTTGATAAGAAAATATCGTTGTTCTCTATACGCACAAGTTTTTTTGCCAGTACACAAGGTGTTACCGAAATGCGAGCATTGTTTTGTTTTTCTATAACGTGTTAAAATATTTTTCCAGGTTTGTATGCTGTTATTATTTGTTTAATACATTGCAATAAATTTTTCAAATTTGTGGCACTGAAGTGTTATTATTGTACAAGCATAATGAGTAGTGAAAATTAAAATTTAGTTGTTTAAACAAATTTGCAGATAATTTTTTTAAAAAATGTACTATCCGGGCAAGATGGGACAGCCAAAGTAGAATAAAAGTGTGATATAAAAAGCAAACTCTCGGGATTTGACAAAAAGTATAAAAAATAAGGTAATATTAACAACAAAAAAATATGAACTAGCACATATAACTTAACAAATTATTTAAAAAAAATTCTAAAAATAATTTATAATTAGTTAATTGACAGACTACATTCAGATTGCTTAGAATGGGCTCATGAAGCGTGCAGTGCTTATTCCGGTTTTGGCTGCTTCTTATGCAGTAAATGTGATGTTTAGGAACGATTTTTTGTCGATTATTCTTTTACTCTGACATTAATTTCTGTGATTTTTGAAATATAATTATGTGTCCCATCTTGCCCAAGTAGCCCACGCAAGATGGGACAATGTTCTCTTTTTGTTTATGTTAAGTTATTATTATTGAACTTCATTATTTATTTTTTTTCTGTATGAGATATGTAAGAGAAATGTTCCCACTATATGTTTACAATATAAAATATATGAAATTGCTCTAGTTTACTATTTTTTGAACCAAGTTTCTTTAAGAGGTTCATCTTGTCCGCTCTTCCACTATTCAAATTTGAGTCGACTGTTCAACTACCATTATAAAAGATAAAATAAAACATCTTTCAAGCGTAATTAATGATATCAAATTTTCATGGTAATGAATTCGAGGTTTATGCGCTTATTTATAATTTTCAGCCAACGAAAATGATGTAGAATGAAGTTTGTAACTTCAAAACTACTGATTCGTTTCCCTTATCAGATTTTAAAAATGATTGGTTTCTATTGGCATAGTAATCTTATCAAGGAATTTTTAAATGACGAATTAGGAATCATCCACTAAATTGTTTTGCATAAAAAGATTATTTTTCTTGAAACTGAAACTCTACTTTTAAGTTATTTTACTAAGTAATTTCTTCTGATTATCGAGGGAACCAGATTAGGCCCCATTGTGCGCATTTTAATTTGTCTATAATTATTTTACTTGGTATGGTAATATATTATGTTGTATATCTGACAGAGTTTCGAAATGATTAAGGAGAAAAATGAGGCATTATATGTATACATTTTATGAGCAAATATTTTCTAATTTTAGCGCTTTTATGATAAACTCACTAACAAAAAAAATTTATTTTAAGTAAAGAATTATTTTATTTACGTTACAACATTGTAAAATGAGAAAAAAAAACTTTTTTTCACAGATATAAGTTTTGAAAATTGACCACGCTCGGGGAGGGGGCGGCCCGAACTCACCGCCCTCGGTTTTTGTTGCTTCATAACACTCGACCTTACTGGTTCACTTGTATGTTAAACTCATAAACTTATAATAAGGTTTCTAAATAATATCTGCTGCTTGTTGAGTGAATCCTATTATGTCCCATTGTGCGTCCCTTATAATTTGTCTATAATAATTTCGCTTTTTAATATATATATATGGGTCATTCTCACAAAAACAGTCATTTTCATGTCCCCAGTATATTTTATGTTTGTTTTACAGCTTACGAAAAAAAAAAATTCAGGGCAAGTGTCCCTCAGAATGCAAGCTAACAAAAGAATAAAAATTAAATTATCAATTTTTATTTTTTATTTATTTTAGGTAATTAAAATATACCAATATGTCATTCCCTCACTTGTCCCCACTGCTGATTTAAAAAAAGAAAAAAATTGTTTCTGAAATAAATTTTTTTTTTTTTACAAATTCGTGTTTCTTATTTCAGAATACTGAAACATAGAATTCAGAAAATCAATTTTAAATTTAATTTCTGATAAAAATATTAACACAGCACTATTTTAAACTTTGTCCCCAGTGTTTCGCGTCATTCCCTCACAACAATGTTCTTATCACCTGCAATCTTCTTAGAATAAAAATATTTTAATAAAAACTTCAGAAGTTAACAACTGGCATCATAGAACAAAATTGCAGTATGTTTCCATCTTCAACTTAAAGAAGCTTTGCTGTGGAATAAATTTGAATGAATCAAACCAGGTAAAATTTTTTACATTTGTCATTCCCTCATGTCATTTTTTAGAGTAAAATAAAATACAACTTCATCGAGAAAGTGGATAATTATATGTTGCTTTCTTGTATGAATATAATTGTATGTGATTGACTTCAGAAATTAATTAGGCCTAACTGTTATTTTTAAATTTTATTGAATTCGTCATTCCCTCACTAGTGTATAAAGTGAGGGAATGACGCTGAAGTGAGGGAATGATTCAAGATGAGTATATTATTAAATTTTTTTTTGTTCAATCGTGCCAGCCAATTTTATTTCCCAAACCTGTAAAAACTATTAAATATATAAGACTAAATTATAATAAATATTAGATATACTTAGTATGTTATCATTTTCAAACTTTAGGTAGATGTAACTTAGATAAAAACATGTATTAAAATAAAATATCATTCCCTCACTATTAGTGTCATTCCCTCACTTTTTAAATAGTGAAAATAATTAATTTACTTATTAATTAATTTGAAAAATAAATTAAAAAATTAATAAATTAATTTATTAAATTAATTAATTTATTTATTAAATTAATTAATTAATTATTATAAACTAATTAATTATAAATTAATTATTTTAAAAATTAATTAATTTAAATATTAAGTATAATTTATAGGATATATACTTTCTTTATAATGCCATTACATATTTCTATTAATATAAAAAGTTTCAGAGCTTTTTATTCACTTTACTTTTTTGGGATTTTATGAACTGAAAAATGACAGTTTTCGTGAGAATGACCCATATATATATATATCTTAAAAGCACACACAACCAAAATTTTGTAATTTTTGCTCTTTTATTATAAACGCATTTGCAAGAAATATAATAATAAGTAAAGGATGTTTTATTAACGTTACAATATTATAGAACAAATTAATAAAAATTATTTTTTTTAAATATAATTCTTTAAAAGTGAATACGTCTGGCGTTTGAACCACTGATCCTAGGGATTATCAATAAGTTGCTTCATACCACTTAACTCTACCGGTTCATCGGGCTGGACAGCAAGGGTGCAATGACTCAGTTAAAATTACAGTTTAGCGCCTGTAACCAATAAGCTTCTTGACTCTGGCTCTAATATAATATGTAAACAACATTACAAAGAAATTTCTACCGTGAAAATCGTAACTTTTTTTATACATAAAATAATACAATAAAATAATACAATCATGCAATTTTTTTTCCCTTAAAAAAAACTAATGTAATTTTGATCGTATCGAGTACTTAAATCGAGCGTCAAAGTGTTAAATATATTAAAAAAATGGCTTGACCTTGATAAACCTCTAATTTTTTTATTTATTAAAAAGAAATGATATTATTGTATTTATTTTTTTTTTAAGTGTGCAGACGACCAAGATACTTTTAAATGCTTCTATAAAACAGAATTTATGACCGAACTTTTTCAACTCATTTCAAACGTAGAATTTCACGAGAATGAAGCTTTTATGACATCTATAACTGGAATCATTTGGAAGTGTTCAAAAGCACCAATCTGCATACGTCAATTTGAAGTTCTAGGTGTAATACCAGTATTCAATCAAATATTGTTAAATCAGCCAGTACAGGTGAGTATAAAAATATTTGGCTAATCTGTTACTAAAATTATCCTACAATAAGTGAAGTAGTTACTGTAAACCCTTATAACTTGTGTGGAGATAATATTTATTTATATACAATATTAACCTTCATCTATGCAAAGGTACTCGTCCTTATATTTTTGTAGTGGTAGATACACTACACTTTGAATACTGGAAAAAAAGAACCAGAAAAAAGGCGCACCGGATAAAAAGTACTGGAAAGAAACCACCTAATTAATTCCAATTCCATTCAGTTAAATATAAATATTACGGCAAATTTTCATGTCACCATTAAAAACCTAATAATTAAGATGCGAAAATTGCATGTATGACGAGTTAAAAAAATATTCCGCTATTACGACAAATTTGCTTCAGGGAAATACATTTTTCTGCTAATTTATACAAAATATTATACGAAAAAGGTAAAACAGATATTAGACATCAGAATAATAACATTAGATTAAGACAATTAGAATAAGATATTAGAATTGGATAATAGAAGACATTATTTTTTCTGTTATTAATACAGAAAAGCGAAAAACAAATATCGTTTCTTCTAACTATTTAGTCATTTTCTTATAAAGCAAGATGTGTGCGAAGTTTATGTTTTGTTAATTTTTAGGTATAGTTATTAATTACTAAACTTAGGAATTATAATATATATGTTAACAGTCATATCCAAATCAAATTAATATGCAAAATATTAACTTTATGTGCCAAATTACTTGTCGCACTGTAGTTCCTTAATAATTATATGTTTTGCGCTAGTTTATATGCGATACTTTTATATTTAAACATACATGTAATAGGTTTTCATTCGGGATATTTTTTATATACTTTCTATTTGCATTTATTTTTAATGTGTTGCATTGCAAATGTTAACCAATTGATACACGAACATAAACAACTGCAAACTGGTTTCAATCGCCTTGTCGCGTGCGTCAGTTGCGAACGTGTTTCTGTGACTTTATGCGCTGCGTTTATTTATTTAGCAATTTTATACTACGCTGTTCTTTGTTTATTTAGTGTACAGTGTTGAGATAATCAATTGGAACATTTTCATTATGGGTAAAAAAGGTGATATTTCACCATGTAAAAAAGCTGAAGTAAAAACCCTCGTGAATGCTAAAATATTTTCAAACCCCAAAATATCACGAAAATTGATAGTTTCTGAAGCTAGCGTACGACTCATAAAAAAGAAAATTAAGTCAGGATACGAAAGAAAAGATGTGGCAGAATCTTACAGTGCGTCTAATAGTTTGGACAGGGTCTGCAGTAAAAAAGCAAACATCACCTCTACCGGGAAACTACTGACATATGATCAAACAAAGAAACTATCCTTCTTTATTGTTGTTGTTGTATGCCTGTTAAGGCAGAGGGGTGCGATTGTTCTTGTTTTCCAGTGGCACCATCTATGACCAAGAATTCAACTTCTGTCACACAAATACGTCACACCCGTTTATAGGGTGGTCGCATTCATTCATCCCCAGATCGTAATTTTGACCTGAATCAGAGAACGATCAATCTCCAATCCAGTGCTCTCAGAGGTATTGATTTGTTATGGGAAGATAGAGGACTTTGCGACCCGACAGATTTAACGTGCATCAGTCACCATTTACTACACCGGGAGTCTTCGGTCTGTGGGGTTTGAACCAACGAACTCTCGAACATGGGCCAGCGTAACACATGGGCCCATCCTTCTTTATTAGGCAATATTTTTGAAATTAACAAACATGATCACATTCATAACTCCAAAAAAAATCGTACAAACAAAATATCAGGTTTACAGAGACGATGACAGTTTCTAACACATTCAACGGTCGGATTGAGTGGTCATCGGCAGGCATCCAACTCCTCTCCAAAGTCCTAACGTCAATAAATTCTGTAAAAAATTCTAATTCAATAAAAGAAATTCTGTATAACATTCTGTTCGTTTGAAATTAACCAGTGAATGCATGCATAGTTACTAACGAACACTTAGGAGCATGGGAAGAGATCCAAAATTTAGCGAGTTATCGATAGATAATATAGCCAAAAATAAAGCCAATCCGGGGTTTTTAATATTAAATTTTAAATAATCTGGATACAAACTACCAAAAAAACTATCTGTAATCGAATTTTTGTGGTTAGAGAAATAAACTAGCTTAAAGAAAAACCAAGTTAAAAATTGATTTTGATATTTCATTAGTCGCGACACTCAATTAATTAAGCTTTACACTTGTATTGAATTAAAAAGTAACATCGATTGTAAAGAAAAGAATAAAAGTATTTATATTCGCTTTTTGTAAAACATGATAAAAATTAAATGATTGATTCAATTTAATTATAACAGGATTAAGAAGGATTTAAAAAAATTTATGAAATTAAAGAAAGTTTGAATGCTCGGAAATATATATTACCCATAATGGCATCACATTACAATAAGTGTAATTATTGAAATTTAGAACAATGTTAGAACTGCTAAAGAGTCAAATTATTTAGTTAAATGGAATAAAGCGGAGAAAGTTTCTCTCAATAAACTATAAATAATTAATTATAATAATTATTTAATAATAATAATATATTATAATTATTTATGTATATTATTATTATAATAAAAAAAAATTTTAAAATATATAATTTTATTCAAATAAATATTTAATTACATTGAATTTTGGCTCAACAGCCCGATTGACTTGGTAGTTAAATTCATATAATTACCAACGATTTTCATATAATTACCAACGATACAATTGTTCTCAATGTTTTTACCGGTTTTATTTCTGATGTTTTTTTTTCTTCCCACCGTCGTATAACTTTGCCCGGTTTTGAAAAATTTATGTTTGGTTTCTTAGCAATATAATGAGCCAGTTAATTAGACACTTGTCTCATGTTTCATATTTTGCAACAAATGGCGAAGTGTTTGAAAATTTTATAGATTGAAAATAAATACACTTAGAATATTATATGCTATTGATATTTTACGTCAATATTATTCATATTTGTTACGTTTATAATTAAGAAAAATGCTTACTTATTTTTATCCTACAGGTTAAATCTCATATTGTTGGAGCAATAGGAATGTGTTTGGCGAACTTCACGCTGAGAGAAATGGTTAAAAGAATAGGAGTTGTAGAAATTATGGTGAATTTACTTGAAACAACCTATATTCCTCTAATAATTAACCTAAACGATGCACTAGCTAAAGGCTCGGAAGATATAGAAATCTTAACGTAAGTAATTCGAGTTTTTGAACAGTAATTAAGGGAAAGTATTGCTGTATTTTGAAATATTTTTCTCACTTCAATTTTTAATTTTGGTCACAGTTATGAGACCGAGTTAAAATTAGTTTATATTACTAATGGTCAGAGTTAAAATTTTAAGACAACTCGTTTAACATTTTTCTCTAAAATGTATTTATCCAAATCAAATAATTTGAAGCCAAATCTAATAATCTAATAATGAACCTAATCTAATAATGAACCTAACAAATCTATTAATAATAATAAACAACCAAATCTAATAATGAACCTAACAAATCTAATAATAATAATAAACAACCAAATCTAATAATTAACCTAAATGATGCACTAGCTAAAGACTCGGAAGATACAGACATCTTAACGTAAGTAATTCGAGTTTTTGAGTAATTAAGGGATAGTAATTAAGGATAGTATTTTCAGTAATTAAGGGAGAGTATTGTTGTATTATGAAATATTTTTCTCACTTCAATTTTTAAATTTGGTCAAAGTAATGTGGCAGAGTCAAAATTAGAATTAATAATGGTCAGGTTTAAAATTTTATGACAACACGTTTAACATTTTTGTCTAAAATATATTTATCCAAATCAAACAATTTGAAGATATATATTAAGGGTGGTCTTCACGAAATATCCCGTTTACACTACCAGTCTTCTCCAAATACCTAGTTTTTCGATCTTTCAATGGTAGGAATTTTAAATCCACGCAAGAAACTCATTTTCTTAACTCAGCAATCGAAGAAGTTGCTGTAAAACACAAATAAAAAGTGCATTTCTTTTCGTAATCTTTGGTCAGAACCCCATTTTTTGAACACCATTGTTTTGATGCAGGGCACAATATACTAAAATGACTTTACTGCTTAATTTTCTATATTTTAGGACTTGGCCTACTTTTTGAATTGCGTCTTTGAGGCACTGTGAGAGCATTTCATAAATAACTTTGAATATTAAAATTTATAAACTACAATTCTATGATTATATTTTACACTTAGTTCTCTTACACTCATATCAAATTTAAATTTTTTTTTATCTATTTCAGTCAATATTTACAATTAGACGCAATTCAGTTGATTTGGTCTTGTTTGAAGAATGTTGATTTTCAGGTGCAATCATGTGCTGCATCAGCTTTATGTACAATTTTGAAAAACATGCAAGTATGTTTTTAAACTTATTACATTTTACTTTAATTTTTTTAAAGAAATTCTAATAATTTATTTTTTATTTCTATGAAAGCGTGCCAATTTAGAGATGAAAAATTCTCTTGATGGAATTGAATGCATTATCGATCTCCTGAAATCCAAACGCAAAGAACTGTTAACTCCGGCATGTACTCTGATTCACAACCTTGCAAAGGATAAAAATGCTTTATCTGTTTTAGTGGAATTCAATGTTGCATTTCATCTCATGAGATTAATGAAAATCGTAAGTATTTAATTAGGCATCACGAAATTCAAGCACATTTGAATTTAACGTAACGAAATTTGCGAAAAAAAAAGATGATTGACAGAATCAGGGAACTACACAAAAGAAAACGTGTTTTCATTGATGATTTCATTTGATGGAATTGAAAAAAGCGTTTTCAATACCATCAAAATTCTCTTGATGGAATTAAATGTATTATCGATATCCTGAAGTCCAAAAGCAAGGAACTGTTAAACTCCAGCATGTACTCTAATTCACAACCTTGCAAAAGATAAAAGCATGTCTTCGGATCATGAATGTTTCCCAGACCGTCGCCAATAGCCTATTGTGCAGCTCTAGTGCGACGTAAATTAACAACAACAACAAAAGATAAAAATGCCTTATCTGTTTTAGTGGAATTCAAATTTGCATCTCATCTCATTAGATTAATGAAAATCGTAAGTATTTAATTAGGTATCACGAAATTCACGCATCATTTTGAATTTTAAGCTACTAAATTTGCGAAAAAAAGATAGTTGACAGATCAGGGTTATTAAATATGGAGCACTACTCAAAAGAAAAACGCGTTTTATTGATGAGCAATATTTTTTGCTATGTTTTGTCATTCTCTGACAGGATAAGTTACCGTTTTGGTTTGCAGAATCTTGGTTATGCAATTTAACGCCGAGGGAATAAACTTAAAAAGTCCTCAAACACCAGCACAATGAATAAGAAAATTAAGCGCTGTGCATCGAAATTCATCCGAAAAACAGCCATTGAAAATTTCAACAAAAATGAGTATGTGCTAGAAAAGCATTTTATTCCGTACGTAAACAATATTCCATATTGTAAGGTGATAAAAATAATAAAAGAAAGATGTAATCTAACGTTAAAATTCACAAATCACACATTTCAAAAGTTAAAACTGCATGCCATCTTCAGAGTAAAATAACAGAATGAAAAAATTTGGCATCTTACAATCCAAGCAGTGGATCATTCGTTTATTTCCTTAGGCACTTCTAATATTGTGGCAAGCAGAGGCGTCTGCATGCCCGAGTAAAAGTAGTAATTGCATCTTACTACCCAATTATTAAATCAATTGTTATTCGTTTTTTCCTTACGCACTTCTAAATACTGTGGCAAGCAGAGGCGCCTGGATGCCTGAGTAAATGTAGTGAATTGCATCTTACTATCCAATCATTAAATCAAATGTTATTCGTTTTTTCTTCTTACGGTCTAATGGGTTTTCTCTTCTACGCTTTTTCTAAATACTGTGGCGAGCAGAGATGTCGGGATGATCTCTTAAAAGAAGAGTAAAATTTTTAGAAAAAAGACATACGAATTTAATAAAAAATTTTAAAAAACGGGAAAAATAGGTTTTCATAAAAATTCATATTCTGAAATAATTTTATGGTTTAAAAATACATATTTCGAGCAAAACATTTTTAATTAATTTTGAAACGTGAGTAATTGTTAAATATTTTTTACCTATATCTTCTTTATTGAAAAATATATTTTATTTCTCATTTTTTTTCATTAAATATTTTTATTTAAGCTATTTTAATGTTAAAAAAACTTAGTTTCAAAATAAAAATTCAGTTTCCTTATTTATCACTTATTTTCTATTTTTAGAAAGACAAGAAACTTCTTCAACAACTGTGCTTAGCTGTAGCATCCTGTTGTTCCTTTAAAAAAGGGTGTGAAAAGTTTGCTAAATGTGGTATAACGACTCCTCTTTTAAAACATCTCAGAGCTAAGAACAAACTTCTACGAATAACAGCTGCCTTGGCTTTGTCGAGAATTGCTACATTACCAAATTGGTGTTCTATTTCATCGAAAAATAAAATTCTTCCGGTGAAAGCTTTACTTACAAATTTTTAGTAATTTTATTTATCTATTTATTCATACCTTTTATTTATAAGAAAAAGTTTTAGGTGCATACTAAGAGTATTGTAAACACGACCCTTAAAATTTTTTTCGAAGCTTTTTCAACATGGAATAAAAAAAAGTCACAGTTTAAATGCCTTGCGCTTGAGTCAAAGCTGTAATTTTAAATTATACACATGATCTTGCCATAAAGAATGAATTGGCTCAGGGAATAGAGCGTTCGCCTTCCAAGGATGTGAATCGGGTTCGAATCCAGTGATGGCAGGTCGATATGAATTCACATCCGACTTGCACCGACCACAGTGCTGACATAAAATATCCTCAGTGATAGACGTATCATGAGTTAGAGTCCCCGTGCCTCCATGCTAGTCTTGGAAGTTTTTTTTTGGTTTTCCTCTCCATGTAACTCAAATGCCGATTAGTTCCATCAAAAAGTTCTCCATGAAGGCAAATTTCTCCCATTACTTGATCCAGGAGCTCCCTTGTCTTTTGGATTGGGTTCAAATTTACAAAATTGAACATTAGTAGTCGTAAACCCAAAAAATTGGGTCGGCTATAAAATTAAAAAAAATAGTAAATCGTCCTACATTGATGACCTTTTTCCCCTCCCTTAAATATTTATTTGTGAACCTAAATAAACACACTTTTTGACTTTATATTTGACAAGGGCTATTAAAATATACATTAATAGCGATGTTTACAGATCATTCGGTATATGGGTTTAGGGTTGAAACCTCTGCCTGAGAATAGGCATGTAATATAGGTTTTCGTGTTTTTTCTCTCCATGTAGCGCAAAAGTAGGTTAATTTCATCAGAAAGTCCTCCACGAAGGCGATTTTTCCCAATACTTGATCCAGGTATTCCCTTGTCTTCTGGATTAGGTTCAAAGTTACAAGGCTACGACGTTGAACATTTGTAGTTGTAAAACCACGAAAAAAATCGGGTCGGCTGTTCAACGACGGTTTTAAAATAAAATAAAATTTAACTATGACGTTAGATATCTTTCTAGTCATATTGTTAAGACGGAAAGTTATATGATTCAATGCATGTATCAGTATTAAAACTTAAAGAAAACTTTTTTATAGAATATAAGACTATTCATTATTTAATTTATTTTCTATTTCAAAAACTTTAAGTGTGCGGACTGCCGTCTGTTTTCTGATGCTTAACTTAAATATACAATTTAAAAAGGTTTTTTAAGAAAAAAGGAAAAAAAACCTACTGTCAACTCGAACTTATTTATTGCCATTATTAGAAAAAATTACTGTGAATTGAATTTGGGTTAATATTTATTTATTTTTCATAGATTCTTACTGACATGATATTAGACATGAGATATGAAGATGGAAATAAATCAGCCGCTGTAATACTTCGGCACATTTTGTGTAACATTGAAAATGTAAAACAGATACATCCTGAAAAAAATTAAAGAATTTCAAATAAATGAAAGTACTGTGATTTTTAACAAAATGAACGAAACTGTTGTGAAGAATTTCAAATAAAAGAAAGTACTGTGATTTTTAACAACATGAACGAAACTATTGTGAAGAATTTCAAATAAAAGAAAGTACTGTGGTTTTTAACAACATGAACGAAACTATTGTGAAGAATTTCAAATAAAAGAAAGTGTTGTGATTTTTAACAACATGAATGACACTATTGTGAAGTTTTAAGTTTTAAGAAATATATTTCTGTAATTAGATTTTTTTTAAAGTTTGTTTTTCTTTCTTGATTGTTTTTCTTTTTAATTTATTTTTCTTCTGTCTCATAGTTTTATTATGTAATGAAAGTTAAATAAATGTAAGGCTTACTTGTTCTTGCTAGATGATTATTGCATAGAATCTCCTGAATCTGTTTTTCTTCAATGTTATTGATACAACCGTTAATTTTGTTTAAACGGACTACTAAACAGCAGCCAGTGGAACAGGGCGTATAAAGGTGTAAAAAGGTCATATTCATAAAGCAAAATTTATAAAATATATTGCATATAATAAAGCAAATAATTTATCATATATGCAATCATGATACAACTTTTTTAAAATACTCAATTCTATTTTAAACAGATTTTCAAAAATGTTAAAATGAAAAACAAATGTTTCTTTATATTTTTGTGTTTCTATATAAATCTTAATTTCGGTTATTTTAAAAAAAATCTCTTAGTTTTTTCGTTATTTGCACTGAGCATTAAAGTATAACGAAAAAAAATATACCTTGAATGGAATTTTAATTATTTTTAATCCAGGAAATGCGATTTTTACAGATTTTTTCAAGATGCTAAACAACCCTTCTGTACTTTATGCTATTTGAACTACTGTAAATACTAAATCATTTACAGTCCATGGCTAAATTGTTAGACGCACTATGATATTTTATGTAAAATCTTAATTATCAGGTGATACTATACAGCTTTATGGTTTTTACACTGCTGAAACCTGTTTGCTTTTGTTTACTTTCGTGTATCAATTGGTTAATATTGTAATGCAATACGCTAAATATAAATATAAATTGGAAGTACATAAAAAATCTCCCGAATAAAACCCATTACATACATGTTTAAATATTAAAGTACTGTATACAAACTCGCGCAAAACATGCAATTATTAAAACGCTACAGTGCGTCGAATAATTTGGTCCAATTATTATAATATACTAGTAATATAATACCTTCTATAATAAATATTCTATTTATGTAATATAAAGTCTAATGTATCCAATCGTCGAATTTATATTGTATATCGTCTAATTTAACCAATTTATACACGAACTAAAACAAGTGCAAACTGGTTTCAGCCACGTAAAAACCATGCAGTTATATAGTATCACCTTAATATTAAGATTTTGCATAGAATCTTTTAGTGCGTTTAATAATTTGGCCAGGGACTGGAACTGGAACTAAATTACTTTAACGGGGCACCTACATAAAAGTGCCACCTGTTTTGTCACCTGTTCTCTGCCGACGCTTCTGTTGGCTGCTATGCATCTGCCTACGACGGTGAAGTCGAGGCTATTCTAATTGCCTTAAAACAACTACAGTGTCGTACTGACCAATTTTCTAGCGCCGTCATCTTATCTGACTCTAAAGCAGCACTTCTTGATATTAACTCTCCGCGGATTCCCCAATCCATCTCCATTCAGAAATGCATTGATTGTCTGAAAGACCTGACACTGAAAGGCAAGCAAATCGTCCTCCAATGGATCCCGGGACATTGCGGGATTTGGGGTAATGAAAAAGCTGATTTCTTGGCCAAGAAAGGAACAACTATTGCCCAAGCATCTCGTTGCTCCATCTCTCTGCACTCATTTAAATTGCTGGTCCGAAACCAATTCCGGAACATGCTCTCAGAGAATTTCCGTACAAGCAATATACACAAAACCTGGTTCAACCATATTTTAACTATCCCAAATCAGCCCAGGTTTACGGCAGTCGCTCTCTTTAGACTTGTAACGGGCCATGACTGTCTGGCCAAACCCCTTTTTAGCATAAACATTTTTGACTCTCCTAAATGCAAGCTCTGTCGCCTTGGGGAGGACATGGACTTGCCCCATATTTCCGTCTGTCCTGCGCTCATCTCCACTACTGTGTGTGGACGCTACTGGGAAGCTAGAGCCCGTATGGGCTAAGCATGTCACTATGCATTCAATTTTATTTATCTCTTTTTGCCTTGTTTTTCTTGTTGTTTTATCCTTTTTGTTCTTTTTATTTGGCCTGCCATTGGAAAAAAAAACAAACATAAAAGTGCTTATCCCCGGTAGAAAAATTGTTATAACGCTATTGAATTGTATGATGAGAAAATAATTTTTTACTAGCTTGCTTTCAGTAAAATTTAAATATCCATCAATACCAAGATTTTTTTTAACCGCTGTAGAATATATATTTTGCTGTTTATTTCTTTAAACTAAGAATCCCTGACCAAGCGGTTTCGCCCGCCAAACGCTATGCAACGCGTTGAGGTAGCGGATTTGAATCTCGCTGTCACCCTGGATATATCTTTGTGATGTCCTTCTCTTGAATTATGCTATCTGTCCTTCTATTTGAATTATAATCCTAAATTGAGCACACAAGCCTGCAAATGTATGTAAAATTCAATCCAATCCAATTGAAACGAAGAAAAATTAAATAGTGATGAATAGTTTATAGTTTCGAATAGCATGAGTTTATTTTACTTCTCTGAAAATCAAAATCATGTAAAACTACCATTTTTTTTAATATTTTCCAAGTCCTAATCAAATATGATATGCTATTCCACACCCAACTCCATACCGTATGGTAAATAAATAAAAAATAATATAATTAGAAATATGTGGCTTCGATCAAAATCATTTGCGTCAACTCAGGAATGCACTACCTATACACCATTAACTACAATCAGAAAGTCAAGAAGTACTAACAGTTTTTTAGATAAAAATTATTTTATTTTATATTACATCTATTATACACCTTAATTATCATATAAAGTGAATAATTTCTAAAAATATGCAATCAGTGTAATATTTAAAATGCAACAATGTCATGATTCTTTTAATTTGTCTAAAATATAAGAATTATAAGATTCTTTTAATTTGTCTAAATTATAAGATTCTTATGATTTATATCAATGTCTTTCGTCTGCTTTAGAAATAGTGGAATTAAGTTCTGAAATATTACTGAGAGCACTGAGAATAAAATTTTTCAATTTCATGCGATTTTTTTTAACATATCTTTGATATTTTCGCATCTCTGATTTAAAATCTGCGATCAGTTTATCTTTATAAGCTACAGTTTTTATAAAATTTAGCAATATAGTCGGAACCAGGATTCTTTTAAAATTCATTCGAGAATTACTACCTTTCTCTGGTAAGTAAGAATACATTTCGATTAGTTACAGTCATATGATTTTTAAAGTTATATGATATGAGTTTTAAGTGTTATTTTTAAAGAAGCAGATATGTGCATAGATATGTATATAAAATTATATGTTCTTTATAAACTTATTTATAAACTTTATTATCTATCATATTTATAGTTGTATGAAACATTTTTAAATGCAAATAAATAACAAAATATTCATTATGGACTTTAAACAAAATTAACAAATACAAATAAAAACTTTTTCGTAAATTTCAAATAAGAACAATAAAAAAAATGTCCCTCTCATTAATATCTCAGAATGATTTTTAAAAAAAATTTGCGAGACCCTTTATTTAAAAAGAAGTCACAGAAACAAAAACAAAAAAAAAAACATGCCAGCCGCCAATGTGTATTTACGATATTGGTTACGTTAGTGGTTAGTTTTTCGTCTTAATTAATCTTTCAATCTTATAAATTATGTCAGTTTCTTATAATTATATATTTTTCCAATAAAAATACATTGTAGTAAGCACAATTGAACAAGAAAGTGGCAAGAAAATATTTATTTTCTTCATAGAATATCGAAAATGATTATTCCGGTAGATGAAAATTATATGCTCGTCACTGCAAACTATTTTTATTTTTTGAAACCAAATGGGGGGAAATTACTTTTCTTGTTCTAAATATCTCTAGATTTGTAACAAAGTATTAAAAAGTTAAATCAAGAGAACAATGCAAATAGCAAAAAAAAAGAAAAAATTCTGTTGAGAAACTGTTTATTTCAAACTGTTTATTTAAACAGTTTCAAACTGTTAAAAAAATTGTTTATTTCTTTAAGTATCATTGTTTAAAATTCATCTTTAACAACATAAATTTTTAAGAACTTTATATTTTGCTGAATTTTTCTATCACATTTGGCTGCGTTGAACATTTGAAGACGGTACTGTAGATTGTAAATTCCCTTTGTTGGAACTATTTGAATTTATAAAATGAAATTTGCGAACAAAGAAAAGCTTTTTGTTAATCTTTTTAATGCTTTTGTGATTTTTCAGACAATTGGAATATTATTAGTGTTGCACATAGTGTTGTTCAAAGAAACAGGTAACCTAAGATGATACATATGAATTTACAATTTAGTTACGCCAATCCAATTGAGGTAAAATAGTTCAATGAAATGAGTTCTCAAATGGAAACCATATGTTATATACTGCTAATATCACTGACACGTACATCTAAAGTGATGACGTTGGGAATTATAAAATAACTAACTAAAAATATAATAAATAAAGTTATTTCTCGAGTCAGTTTTTTCTTGATTCAGTTCTTTCAAGGATTAAATTTGAAATTCAAAAACTCCACGCACCACTCCAAGACACCGTCTCTTTGATCACAGCAGAACTCAAATGCTCTTGGATCTCTGGTAACTTTAGTGCAGCGTTCGCAAATATTTCTTCTTTCAGAGCCAGGAGAACACAATAAAAGAAATCTTCTAGTTTCTTTTGTTGGAGCTGTTGATGCAGTTAAAATAATACAGCAAATTATTAATAGAGTGGCAACCACCTTCCATAAAAATGATATTCCTAGTCGACGCATTTTAAAATCTGAAAAAAAGCAAAATAAATTAGATTAAGATACATTTCAAAAGTTGCAAAATACAATATACAAACTGAACGTCAAAATATACCAATTCTTAAAAAATTCTAAAATATGTAACTTTAAGTGATAAAAATTCAGACCTTGAAAGAGCTCTATTGAATAGTTTCTAATAATTATTGCTTCAAGAAATCAAGTATTTTTAAATTCTCATTTCTAGAAAACTCTTTAAACAATTTGGTTCAAAATTTTTATTTTGACATTTTAATTTATCTCACACAAAATGTTAACTTTTATTAAATCAAGTATTGACAAAATTATAAATTTGTGTTAAAAATTATTTTTGCGTGGAATTATCTTTGGAAAAACGAGCTTTGTATTTGTAAGCTGAAATGGTTTAATTTACAGATACAGTGAAATACGCAAAAAATAAAATCAACGTGGAAGTATTAAAGTAGAAATTTGAATGAATCTTGTTAATCTTTCTTAATAATAGCTATCAAATTAAAATTTCAGATTCTCCATCTGCATATATTTACTAACAAAATATTTTTCACAAAAAAATTTTTAAAAAATATTTTTTAGCAAAATATTTAAAAATAAATTATATCAGAGATGGCAGCTACTCCCGATTTGAATATTTTAAAAAACGGCAGAGAACTAAAACTGTCAGATTTTTGGTTAATTTTGTCAACTTTTTAAAAGACTCAACGCGTCTCAACTGTAACAAAGTGACGTATCGCGTAAACCTTCGAATTATTTAGAAGCAGTGATGAGTAAAAACCCTATGAATCGAATTTTTAAAATAAGAATCATACATTAAAAGACTCGAAAATACGCCCCTCGAAACAATTAAAGGATATTGAGGTTGTGGACTCATCATGCACCGGGAGATTTGTTTGAATGATTGATACATTATCGACAGACGTAGTAGGCTATATGAAATAAAAATAACATTTGTTTGTCAGAAAAAAATGCGTTTTATTGAGCATTTGGATGCAATGAAGCATTAGAGAAAAACAAATATACCGTTATTTTATCGAAGATTACGATATCCTTTAATTGTTTTTAGTGGTGTATTTATCCGGCTGTCCAGAGAAAGTTGGCATCTCTGTTAGATTAATATTATTGCACATTGATTTCAAATGTGCTATCAGTTTATTTCTACAAGCTTCAGATTTTATGCAATTCAATATTATAGTCTGAACCAGAATTTTTTTTAAATGAACTTGGGTGACTACTAAAAGTCCCCACTTTTCTGGAATGTAGAGTGTGGTAGAAAAAATACATTTTAGTTTGTGAGGCGATAACTTAAAGTCCTACGAAGTGCCATTTTCAAAGAAGCAAACAAGTGTGCTTATAAGTACATATATGTATCTATAAAACAGTGCACATATATGAGCCTATATATTCCTCATAAAGTTGTACAGTCAGCAAAAATAAATAAATAAATAGAAAATGAATCACCCTTATAATTTCTGAACGGTTGGACGGATTTTCATTCTGTAAAGTGTCATAGCAATACCTCAAAGAAATCTCTTAAAGCTTTTATGTAACAGTAAACTATAAGTGTGGTGGAATATGCTTAGTTTGATTAAAAAATGCCCATAATTTTTGTCTGAAGAAACATATAATTTTTTATTGCATTCGATTCAATGTGCAAAACTAACCTCCGAAACCATATTTCATAATATTTTGACTATTAAGAGGCTTAAAAAAAGTGAATATTCGGTGTAAAAAATGGAATGTCACCAATACTTGGCATCGGTAGAAACAGATTTAGATAAAACATCGCTTGGGAATCGTGCTGCCTTTAACACGTTGAATGCTATGGGGGTCACCGGGGACCGGCACTGAGTTTGTTCGCAGCGCCACGCGGGTCACCGGTGACTGGTGAAGCCAAGATTATTAGAAACACATAATTCGAGTAAATTTTTAATATTTTTAAATTATTATTGTTACTAAAATGGTTTGAAGAAATTAATTCAATATAGAAAACGCAAAAATAGTTTAATTTATATACACAGAGATGCCAACTTGCTCCTGACAGCGAATAAATATTTTCAAGTGGTAGTTAATTGTAATTCTTGGTTTATTAAATTCAATTTAGTAGATTTTTATCCACCAATATTTCTAAACAATTCATTGGCTTATATAATTCACCACTTTTTTCAGATATGCCATGCTAAATCTTTTCAAAAACTAGCAAAATCTGTCTAATATTTTCAAATTTAGTTTGTAGTTATTTACCGTTTGGCCAGACGGGCAAGCCATTTAAAATTAACGTGGCATTCAAAGTATTAAGTAATTCATTGCATAATCTTACTATTTTGTACAATGAAGTAAATGTGCAAATTTAAAAAATAAATAAAAATAGGTAGCAAGATTTTTAAAATTATTCATTGTGTAAACTTTTCAACCCACAGGGATGAGAAAATCTGACCCCAAATTAATAACATAAATGAAAAGTGGTAGTATGATTTGTCAGGTAATCCATTGAGTTAAACTATCGATCCCTGCCGTAAAGTAAATCTGAACCCAGATTATGATATAAAGAAAAAGTGATAGGAACATTTTTTTCCAAATATAAAAACTTGAAGAAAATATTTAACAACTTTTTTTTCTTTCTGACTTTATGCTTTCAAATTGGCGGAACGATTTTGCTTAACAATTGACATAACATTTTATTCCCGAGATATTTCTTTTCTTGTATATATTCATTTAAATTGTATAAATTTTAAAAAAAATACTATTTTTATACAAAGAAAAAAAAGTAGTTGCCAGTTTTTGCCTTCGCTCACGGAAGAAATTTTTTTGTTGTATTTAATGTACTAAAATTCATCATTGAGTCAAAAAAAAATTTATTTTTGCCATCATTTATCAACATAAATACATAATTATCAGATTATTTAAATGTTTTATTAATTTATATATTCTGAATGTTTAAATCCTTTCAAATCACATTAATTAACAAAAGTGACAGTTGACAGCTAAGTAGAAAAAATAAGAACTTGCCATTGTTGTAGAATATTCTTCGATATTTCATTGGCGTTTTATCTATAACGCTAAAATAAAATGACTGATTGCGAATTAACAAGAATGTTACGGTAAAAAATACAACTGCTCCACCTTTTAACAGTTTTTCTTTGATCAATGTTTTGAAAACGTAATCCTTTAAAATTTAAAAGCTAAAAGCATTTTATCTGAAATTTAAAGCGATATTGCGAAGAAAAAAAAACTTTTAATAAATCTGTTACTAGATTACTAATAAAAGCGGTTGGAAGTAAAATCTTAAAATAAAATCCATCATTTCAAGACAGGAAAAACTATTAAATTAAAAAAGGATGATACATTTAAAATTTCTACGTTTTAATAAGATGTTCCAATTCCTATTTGAACTCTTAGCTTCTTCATTTTTTATTATTTTAAGTATTTCATTTATTGTGGTAAAATTTTGTGACAGTGCAGAATAAATTTGTTATATTTAATATTCAAAATTTGAATAAGAATTCAAAGGGAAATATTTATAAATATTAGATTATTTCGTTACTAAATGTGATATCTATGCATCCATTTACTAATTATTGACTGTTTTATCACATGCCAGAATTTTTAAGTATCTAAGAAAACTGATATCATTTTAATTATATCTGACTATAGTTAACCCTATGAACCTCATAAAAAACGACTGTAAAACTATAGTTATGAAATGGATCTTTTTTTTTCGTTGACTGAACATTCAGACAAAAAAATAAATAAATAATTAAACTAAACAAAATGTACCATTACTTAGACAAACTCTTTTCAAAACAAAACAACTTTCAGGCCTGAAATCCCTTCCACCCAAATTAAATAAGACCAAGTACTTGTATTAGGGAATAAAACTCGTTTTGGGTACATGCATTGGGCATCCTTAGCGTTATTAGAAGGCAATTTTAAATTCAAAAGCATGAAAAATGAACTTGAGATGAAGCATAGATATAAAAACCACCCAATTTAAAAAATTTATATTATAATCTCAATCAAAAGCATCAAGTTCAAGGGCAAAACCTATTGAAAATATTATCAGATTTAAAGTTTAATATGAAAAGCTTCATTCCATTATTTGCCTCAACTACTGTCAATCAATAATTTTGATGATACTCAAAACAAAATTTTCAAGGCTCTTTAAAATATTTGGTTGACATGAGGCGTGGTTAAAGATAACTTAAAATCTGTGATTATCATGATTTTTTTTTTTTTCAAAGTAATGCGCCGAACTTAATAATACGCATAAGATTCTTTTTTTAGTTTTATAAATGCATCGCAAAAATGTAAACAAATATTAGTTCTTTTTGAAATTTTTCCACTTGAATTTATCACGAAGCATTAACTTAGAAGCTTTTTCACCCATTTCCTGCTGATTCGCAATGTTTTGCTATGATGTGAAAAAATTTTTTTTATGGAAAAGGTTGCAAGGCAGTTGTGTTGAAACTAATCAGATATTTTACAGGGTTAGCTATAATACTAGTTTTAAACAGTTGCAGGGAAAAGATTTCATATCAAACTTTTATTTTTATTATTTTTTAATGTACTGTGGCTGCCCAGAATGTCTTGTTTCTGAAAAATAAATGTGTGATAAGACAAAATTTTAAAATCTGACCTTTTTCATTATACTGCCATTTTGAATAAAAGCTCTTGTACTCTTTCGGGTGACACTAAATGTAAAGTTATTATTTCTATTCCAAAATTGTGCCCGTTTCTATGTTCTGTATTATGTTTGTGTGTGCTCTGTGTTATGTATTATTAATTTGTTGTTTTTGTTACCAAATTATATTTACAAAACTTTCAAATATAATTGTGCTTAGTTTAATAAATTGTCAAAATTTTTATTGACAACTGAAACAACGCTATCGAATTTTCTATACATATAATGAAACAGAATTTTTATTTCTAACCAATGATGATGTTAATTACATGAATGCATTACGATTAAAATTAGATAATTTTGTTGTTTTAGTTAATTTTT